TGGGCAATAAATAAAAGGAAAAGAAAATAAGAAAGGCCAGAAGCATGCAACCAGCCCTGAAGCCACACTTACAAGCTGCAAATAAATGCCCACCAAGGGGGAGACAAGTTACGTGGCTCACCAGGCGCCAGAACAGCAGGTGTGTGTGCTAGGGGGTGAGGGAGACAGATCTCAGGCCCTCCTCAGCCCTGTCCTTTAATCCCCCTTAAAAACTCTCCCTATGGCAGAGGAACCATCTGTTTCAACAAAGCCTAGAGCCCTACAAGCATATTAACTCCTTCACTGCTCACCTCCTACACACGGGCTTCACTCAATATTAAGGGTTCATTTAAAGAATGCCTTTATTTTTTTAAACAATGTTTTTAATGTTCATTTATTTTTGAAAGAGAGAGAGCAAGCACAGGGGAGGAACAGAGAGCAAAGAGGACAGAGGATCCAAAGTGGGCTCTGCGATGACAGCAGAGAGCCAGATGCAGGGCTCGAACTCATGAACCATGAGATCATGACCTGAGCCAAAGTCAGACCCTTCACCAACTGAGCCACCTAGGCGCCCCTAAAAATGCCTTTAAATGTTACAATAGAAGCTCTACAATGGAAGAGACTTGGCCTTGTTCTCTGGTATATCCCTAACATCCAGAATAAATCAACATCAGAGGACACTCAATAAATTTTTGTATCATTTATGCATATTTTCTAAAGTCTCCCTCTTCTTGTCACTTGTCCTCACTTAGGTGTCTGACTGGTTTCCTCATATTCACTCGACCAACCATTATTTTGTGTGCCTGTGTATAGGATAACTAGTCTCCTCACTGTGTGGTCCATCACTAGACCCCAGTGCCCAGCACAGCACACACAGTGAGTGCTCATACATATCTGTCAACAAATGAAAGAGTAACTCACTTTGGCACCACACTTTATAAGCGTTCAATAATGAGCACTAAAACCTGGCTAGGTATGGGCTAAGTACCATGAGAGTTATAGAAATGGGACATCTATTAAACAGTCCTCTCAAAAAGCTTACAATTTCAATAGGGAGACAAAACTACCATGCAGGAAAGTGATATATCATTGTGAACAGTGATAACCCAAGAAGTCTTCAGGGAGAAGCAAGGCCTGAGGTGAAGCTGGAAGGAATGGACAGGTTCCAGCAAAGTGTAAAGAACAAGGGCATTCCAGGTAAAAACTGCCCAAGAAACAGCCATGGGAAAGAATGAATGAAGCACCTGGAAGTACAATAAGAAAATGGCTCTGTCTTCAGCTGAAAGTGTGTTCCGGAAATTCGGTGAGATGAGCCTGGAAGAGTCAGAGGGGGGTCAGAACACAAAGGTCTGTCATGGGTCATCTAGCTGGCTCAGTTGGAGGGGTAAGCAACTCTTGATCTCGAGGTTGTGTGGGTTTGAGCCCCACACTGTCTGTACAGATTACTTAAAATAAGTAAGCTTTTAAAAAATAATTTAAAAATAAAAAGTCTATCCTATTTTTGATAATAGCACCAAAAACAAAATATGAGGCAATTGCAGTAGTTCAGGCGTGAGGTGATGAATGACTGGACCAGAGTCATGGCAAAGGGAATGGGGAGGAAGGGACAAATTTAAGAGAAATTCTGAAGAAACAAAAGGACCCAATGACAGAATGAAAATGGGAATTGATAAAGAGAGAGGAGCCAGAGATATCTCCAGGGTTTCTGATCTAAGAGACTGGAAAAATGTGAGCACAACTGTCAAAAATGGGGAAATGAGGAAGAAAGCCAAATCTAGGCTTGGTTGTGAAAATACTGAGTTCAAAGTGGTGTCCAAATATAGATGGCCTGCAGGCAGCTGAAAAACAGACCAATAAATTGAGATTTCATACATACAACAGAATATTATTCAGCCTTAAAAAATAAGGAAATCCTGTCCCATGGTGCAACATAGACAAAACTTGAAGACATTAGGCTAAGTGGCATCAGCCAGACACAGAATGGCAAATACTGCATGATTCCACTTGTAAAAGCAATTAAACTCATGGAAGCAGAAAGTAAAGTAGTGGTTGCCATTGGGGTTTGGGGGTGGGACAAGGAGTTGCTGTTCAACCAGTAGAGAGTTTCAGTCACGCAAGATGAAAAAGTTCTAGAGGTCTGCTGTACAACAAATGTGTGCACAGTTAACAATACTGTGCTGTACTTGTAAAAATTTGTTAAGAGGGTAGATTTGGTATTACACGTTTTTACCATAATAAAAAATAACACCAAAAACATTGAGAGATTTTAAGTAGTAGAAGACAGATGTGGGAGTTTGCAATTCCAAAGAAAAGCTGATGCCAGAAGAACTGACTAGAGGAACAAAAAAAAAAAGGGGGGGGGTGGTCAGGAGCAGCATAATAATGCCAGCTATGTCTGTACCATGTGCTTATGTGCCAGCGCTGTGTTAGGAATTTTACCTGTGCCATTCCATTTAATCCTTATAATTTTATGTGGGAGATATTGTTATCCCCATTTTACAGATGAGAAAATGGAAGCTCAGAGAAAGCAAGTAGTCTGACTCAAGTCACTCAGCTGGTAAGTGTAGAACTTGGATTTTAACCCAAACCAGCCTGGATCCAAAGCCCTGTTCTTTCCACTTCACCGCACTGCCTTACCCCTTAGGTAACTGCCAGAGGTAGAGTCAGGAAAAATGAAAAGACTCAGCAAAGTCACATAAACAGCAATAAGGTAAAGGAAAACAAAGAAATGCTCTCACTGGAGCTAACAGAGAACATTTTAAATACGCAGCGAGGTCACTGACAGTGTCAAATGCCAACACTACAACAACACAGAATGAAGTCCACACTCCAAGCCATCTGTAAAGAGTCTTGAAAAGATGGGAGTCCTGGGCCTGGTTCTGCAGCCCAGAGAATTTCAAAGAAACAGAAGCCCGTCCCAGAGCTAAACGGGCTTCTCCCCTCTTATCACTGACAGACACCTGGGGCTGCCGGCTACACCACGGGCCTCATGCCGAAGTGCATCACCTGATGAGTCCCAGGAAATACCAACCCAAACAAACCGTTGCACAACACAGGGTCCTGTTCAACTTGAACTGTGGGAGAAGTGGCTCTCCATTCCAACTGTAGTTCAATATACAATCTGTCTGTTTCTAAAACCATACTCCCTTTTAGAAGGACTTCATGGGCCTGCTCTCTTTACTTCTCCTGTCCTAGACAAATGAAAATCAGGTACATACGGCTCCACTTCAGCTGCAGCCCTACATCCCTATAACTGACTGGTCATACTGCTACCAGAGTTATACTTCTCTCCTATCAAAAAGCCCCTGATTGTTTATATCATTTCTCTGCCTTGAAAATATCTAGTGCTGTGCACGGCCTACATTATTTCTTAGTCCTTTATAACACAGACTCAGCTCTCCACTCCAGCTTTGTTTCTCGCCCTAAACAACTGCCCATTCTCGCGAGCTTCCTACTTCATAACACTTGTCATTCTTCTCCAGGAGAAAGAGACTTCCGTGAGTCTATTCCTTTTCATACCTGTTGTCTTTCCAGAATACCTTTTCTCCCCTAGCTGACAAACTCTTACCAACTTCAAGATTCGGCTCAAATACCAATTCTGCTGTCAAGCCTTCCCTACCACTCACCATTCTGCCCCTAGTAATCCCTCCACCTCTGCTCTCACAATACTTTGTTCCTAACTTTATAAACAGAACCAGGTAGATAGATAGAGGGGATAGATATCCCCACTGGACTGTGCGTAGGACGACAATCCCTTGGTGACAAGGATTGTCATTAATCTTTATATTCTCAATGCCTTGGATAGGCAAAAGGTTCTTAATTAAAGGAAGGAAGTGTGAAGGAAGGCACCTCAGTTGGTGGAGCATGTGACCTTTTTTTTTTTTTTTTAAGTTTATTGAGAGACAGACAAAGCACAAGCAGGGTAGGGCAGGGCAGAGAGAGAGGGAGACACAGAATCTGAAGCAGGTTCTAGGCTCTGAGCTACCAACATAGAGCTCAACATGGGGCTCGAACCCACAAACCATAAGATCATGACCTGAGCTGAAATCAGACACTTAACCGACCGACTGAGCCGCCCAGGTGCCCCACATGTGACTCTTGATCTTGAAGTTGAGTTCAAGCCCCACACTGGGTGTACAGATTACTTAAAAAATAAAATCTTAAAAAAAAAAAAAAAAGAGGATGCCTAGGTAGCTTGGTCCACTGAGCATCCGACTCTTGATTTTGGCTCAGGTTATGATCCCAGGTTATGGGATCAAGTCCTGCATCAGGCTGCATGCTGAGCATGGAGCCTGCCTAAGATTCTCTCTCTTTCCCTCTCCCTCGCCCCTGCTCTCTCTTGCTCTCTCTCTCTAAAAAATAAATAAAACTTTTAAAAATTAAAAACAGCAAAAAGAAAAGAAGAAAGATATGGGGGCTTTCAGAGAAAGAGACAAGAAGCATGGAACATTATCAGGGAATAAACCAGTTAGTTGATAACAAATTATAAAAACCCATTTTCCAAATCAAAGGATTTCAAGATATATCAAACCAGGAAGTCTACAAGGTTCCTGTCACTCTACAATGAGCAAAAGATGCTGTTTGGCAACTGATATTCATTCCAGAGGGTCCATGCCCACAGTTGTTGTAATGAATAATACATACAATTAGAACTATAGCCTGGCGTTTCTCCAGGAAAACAGCCAAAAGAAACTGTGACAGAATGATAGGGACAATGCTAATACTTACTTCAAAAAACACAAAACCATTATGAGGGAAAAATAATAATTTATGCTTTGTTAGCATATAGGCTCCCTCTTTGAGAGTGAGACATGGTGTAAAACTCATCTGCTGTTTTAACAAAAAACACAGAACTACCCCACACATTTGGAAGTCCAGAGTGTTGATCATTATGCCATGGAATCTCATATTCCCCAAGCATTTCAAATCAGCAGCAATAGAAGCCAACCCCAATTGAACTTGTACTGATAACCCTTTCCAGCCCAGTAACATGCAATAAGCCTAAAAAATACACAATTAAGGTGCTTGCTTTGGCAGCACATGTACTAAAATTTGAACAATACAGAGAAGATTAGCGTGGCACCTGTTCAAGGATGACACACAAAATCGTGAAGTGTGCCACTGATGGTAGCTATACTCGTGGTGAACACAGCACAATGTATAAATCTGTCAAATCACTAAGTTGTACACCTGAAACTAATGTAACATTGCATGTCAACTATACTCAGATAAAAAGAAAAAATAAAAATTATTTTTAAAAAGCTAAATATAGGAGCACCTGGCTGGCTCATTTGGTAGAGCATGCAACGCTTGATCTCAGGGTTGTGAGTTCAAGCCCCAGACTGGGTGTAAAGATTACTTGAAAAAATACGTTTTTTTGAAACAGCTAAACACAAACACACACATACACACACACACAATTAAGGAAGGCATAAACTTTAATAGTACAAAACCGTCATGCATCCAAAAACTACAGGAGTTACTGAAGGTCTATGTAGGTGCCTAGTGCTATAAAAGATGTTGACAGGCTTCACCCCAGAAATATGCAGATTCTCAGATTCCTTGCACAGGAGAGAATCACCCCATTGTGATAGGTTTGCTTGAGGGCTCTGGGAATGGGAGGGGTAGACAGTTCTCACTGTGGAGGATGCAATCCTGTCCATCGGTGACTCAAGCCATTTTCCACTATCCTGGCTGTGCTGTCAACACACACATTTTTATTGACCACCCTGCACACAAAAAGTTGCACACATGTGCCTTCCTTCTGTCAGTCCTCAAGCTAATTTCCAAGCACCCCAGTCTATCATCAGTTAGAAAGCCCACATTGTCTGCTCCAGGATGTCAACTCCAACTCAGAACCAAGACTGTACTCTCATCAAGTCTATAATTCTACCCTAAGGCTGTCAGTTCCACGTAACAGAAACCATTTGCACTTGACTGCAATATGTTGACTTAAAACACAGCACCAGCTCCATTTCTCCCAGAGACAGTCACCTACTGCAAGCAAGGATGACAACATAGTAGTTTGTGAACCAATCCTATCAGACTAACCTGGCCCAATTTCCTAGCTCAGTAACAGCAAGAAAAGAAAAAGAATAGCAAACTTGGACTGATATGGGGTTCTAATGCAGGATTTCTGTACAGTAATGATTAAGTCATTCTTGGTATTGCAGTTTCCTCATCAACACAGGTGGATCTCTCAGTGCAAGAGGAAAAGGTACTAGGGTTGGGAGGATTGGTGAAGCCATTTAAATGCCTGGAGTTGCTAGGAGAAAAGTTTCAGAATAAAACAGTGCAGTGATGAGATGAGGACATGTGGGAGCTGCCGACTAAGTGAAAGAGATACTTGGCACCTGTCCCATGATGAAATTAACTGCACAGTAAAATATATGAACCAGCTGGCCACTGAGCCTGAAGACAGTGCTATCCCTAGAGTGCAAGGGGCCAAGAGCTATCAGTGGGGTATTCAAAGTGTCGCAGGTAATTTCAGTAGTTTTTAAAACTGCAATAGGGGCGCCTGGGTGGCTTAGTCGGTTGGGCGACCGACTTTCGCTTAGGTCATGATTTCGCAGTTCGTGGGTTCGAGCCCTGCGTCAGGCTCTGTGCTGACTGCAGCTCAGAGCCTGGAGCCTATTTCAGAGTCTGTGTCTCCCTCTCTCTCTGACCCTCCCCTGCTCACGCTGTCTCTCTCTCCTAGAAATAAATTAAAAAATATATATATATATTAAAAAAAAAAAAACTGCAATAAAATTAAAAACCAACATCCAGTTTTGAATATGTTTTAGGACCAGTAATTCTACTTCTAGAGACCCATCCTAAAAGGATCATCAGAAATGCACAGAAAATCTTATTTACAAAGATGTGGATTATCACAGTATAGCAGTAAAAAATTAAAAACACACATGTCCCACAAGTGGGAACTGTTAAATAAATGATCCTTTCATTTAAGGAAATTCCATAAGCTGTTAAGAAATGATTTAAACAGGGCGCCTGGGTAGCTTAGTCGGTTAAGCGTCCGACTTTCACTTAGGTCATGATCTCGCGGTTCATGGGTTAGAGCCCCGCATCAGGCTCTGTGCTGACTGCCAGCTCAGAGCCTGGAGCCTATTTCAGAATCTGTGACTCCCTCTCTCTCTGACCCTCCCCTGCTCACGCTGTCTCTCTCTCTCTCTCTCCTACCTAGAAATAAATAAAAATATTAAAAAAAAAAAAGAAATGATTTAAACAAATAGTAAAGGCATAAAAAAATGCTCACAAAATAATAAAGAGCAAGAAAAAGAACTACATTACAATAATAACAAACATAAAAACACAACATTATGTATATATGGATAGGAAAATATATTTAAATGGGGGACTCCTGGCTCAGTGGGTACAGCAGGCGACTCTTGATCTCAGGATTCTGAGTCTGAGCCCCCACACTGGGTGTAGAGATTACTTAAAAATAAAACCTTAAGGGGCGCCTGGGTGGCTTAGTCGGTTAAGCGTCCGACTTTCGCTTAGGTCATGATCTCGCGGTTCTTGGGTTTGAGCCCCGCATCGGGCTCTGTGCTGACTGCCAGCTCAGAGCCTGGAGCGTATTTCAGTCTGCGACTCCTTCTCTCTCTGACCCTCCCCTGCTCACGCTGTCTCTCTCTCTCTCTCTCCTAGAAATAAATTAAAAAAAAAATATATATATATATATATAAAATAAAACCTTGAAAAGAAAAGAGAAAAGAAAAGAAGAGAAGAGAAAGGAAAAGAGGAAAGAGAAAAGAGGAAAGAAAAGAAAAGAAAAGAAAGAAAAGAAAAAGATTAAATGGAAACACAAGTCATGAACAAATCTAGATGTTGTAAGTTTTCTGCGATTTTTTGGTTTTTATTTTTCTATGCTTTCTATAAGGCCAAAATAGTCATCTATTTAACGGCAGAAGAAAAAAATCTAAGTTTTTTTTTTTTCCCCTGAGATTCTTTATTAGTCACATTGAAGAGGGGGAAAAAATTCCCCCCAAGAAGGCCAATCTCTGAAGGGTACATGTCAGGATGTGAGGCCTTCTCCTGCTTGCCCAGGCTGGCCTACTCAGTGAAGTCCAAAGTAAAGCTGTAAGAGAATGAGAAAGAGGGCTTGATAAATACCTCAGAGCTAAGAACCCAAACCGAGTGTGTGCCTTGTCAGTGGTCATCTTGTTCACTTGCTCAATGTTGCCGCTGCCCAAATATACTTGGAACCCCTCATTTGGAACTGCCTCCAGACTAGTAACACCATCTTCCCAATGTCTTCCAGGGCAGTACATTTTCATTCTTTGAGATTGGATTTAATGTTTCAAAATAGCCTAAGTCTTAGATAATATTATTTTTTGACCAAAAATTAAGTAGGACTATAAAACAACTGTCATTTCTTAAGGGAGTCATAATCTGGGGGTGAAGAGAGAAACCACAAAAAGGGTTTGGCCAATGTACACAGCACAAGCACCAATATCAGAGTATTGTGGGAGTTTAATCCTCTACGGTGACTACTGAAGGACATTTGGATACATGAGCTTAGTTCAATTCTTCAAATGTCCTTTTATGCTTAACATGTGCTGGGGGAAGAAGATACAAGAAGAAAGGAGTCTAGTTCCCACTTTTAGCAACATTATAAAAAAACATCTCCTGGGCTCTGACTCTGTGCCAGATGTTACACATGCTATTGCATGTAAAATCTTCATAACACTTTGTGAGGTAAGTTGTATTATCATTCCCTCTTTTACAAATGAGAAAACTGAGGCTTACAGAAGTTACAGGAAACTTGCCAAAGAAGTAAAGACTAGGAAGAAATAACTATAGTTATTATTAATAACTATGAGCATGCTCTAAAATAAGTACCTTTCAAGTGCTATGGCAACACAGATGAGGAAAAAAGAACTCTATCTCAAAATACAAAAGGAAGAAGAAAAAGAAAGAAAAGAGAGAGAAAGCAAGGAAAGGAAAGGAAACTATGGGGGCAGTGAGAGTGAGCTAAGGCATTGAAAGACGAGGAGATGTTTAGGTACAAAGAGAGAAGGATAATGGTATTCCAGGCAAAGGCAACAAAACAGTATGTGCAGAGTGAAAAGAAGGGTGAAAGTATGTATGTCAAGGTATATTTGTTGGGGGGGGTTCTGGTTTTAGTTTAGAGAGAGAGAGCTCATACGTGCACAAATGAGGTGGGGGGAGGGGAGAGGGAGAGGGAGAGGGAGGGAGGGAGGGAGAGAGACAGAGAGAGAGAGAGAGAGAGAGAGAGAATTCTAAGCAGGTTCCACGCTCAGTGCAGAACTTGAGACGGGGCTTGATTCCGCAACCCTGGGTGATCATGACGTGAGCTGAAATCAAGAGTTGGACACTCAACCAATTGAGCTACTCAAGTACTCAGAGATATACTTGATTTTTTTAAAACCGGTCATTATCAGGGCATGTGGGTGGCTCAGTTAAGCATCTGACTTCAGCTCAGGTCATGATCTCTTCGTGAGTTTGAGCCCCACATCAGGCTGTCTGCTGTCAGCACAGAGCCCGCTTTGGATTCTCAGTCTCCCTCTCTCTCTGCCACTCCCCTACTTGCTCTCTCTCTCTCTCTCAAAAATAAAAAATAAACATTAACAAAAAAAATGTTTTTATCAGTCATTATCTCACAGACCTATCACTTTTTTTTTTTTTTTTTTTTTTTTAGCAAATAGTAGAGAACCACTTTCTCATCATTCAACCTTAACTCCCTATCTGCTTTCCTAATCCCCAATTACCAATCCACAGCACAGGCCTGGACTCTGCCAAAGAGCAAGATTTGGGCCAATAGCAAAACCTGTCATACCCACAGGAGAGGTCCATCTGGGCAGAAATCACTCAATAACTACGGTTTCTGACAGACCAGAAAAGTAAAACTTAAAGCCCAGAAGCAGCAGCAGCAACGGGATATACTATGCCCTAGCCTGGTGTCAAAGCACCAAAGATTCACAAGAAACTGGGGACCAGAACTTCAAAAGATGTCTACAGGGTCGCCTGGGTGGCTTAGTCGGTTAAGCGTCCAACTTTCATTTAGGTCATGATCTCGCGGTTCATGGGTTCGAGCCCCGTGTTGGGCTCTGTGCTGACTGCCAGCTCAGAGCCTGGAGCCTATTTCAGAGTCTGTGTCTCCCT